TCCTGCAGAGTGCCATATCAGGATCCAACTTATCACGCATGAAATAGTTCTTTTCTTTCATCTCTGATCTGAGAGTTTGCCCCTTAATTAAGTATATATTAGCCATATAAGGGATATTCCATACTCCTCTGTTAAAAAAAGGAAAAAAGTCAACACAAATACAAATAGTTTTAAGCTATGAAACTAATTTGTTGTCTATTCTATCAAATCTGCATCTCTGAATTTTTTGCTGAGAAGACTAAGCAAGTTTCAAGGAGAAGCTGAAAGTTTCCCAAGACGTTTGACAAACTACATCTGGACATTGTAGACATCTGAAACATAGGCGTAGCCAGTAATTCAAGTTTTGTGAAGTATTGTTTTAAAAATATAGAAAGGTCAAATTCTAAAGTGCTTAACTACAAATGTACTTCATGTTTCCACACTTAAGGCAATTGGTCAAACTCTTTTATAGCATTATTCTACACAATCAGATAGAGAAAGTAATTATAAAAGAGATTCTTAAACAAGTTGAAAAACTTCACTGAGACTTCACACAGCTGGGCTGACCTCCTCACACAAATAAATACCCATGAACCACAGTGGGCTACGTGTTTATGTGAGTTGAGCCAATATCAACACAAATGCATTGCTTTCACAGTGCTCACTCTGCACATTTCCTCCCTCTCAGCACCACGAGTGCCTCTTTCAGTGCAGCTGAAAAGAAGCCAGTTCTATTCAAGCAATCTGTCCTTTTTGTACTTCCATAGCAATGGAAAAGTATCACCACATGGGAAAGTCAAGCTTGGAATAACTTACATCACATTCATTTAGAGGAATTTTGTCTTTGACAAAAGTATTGCTGAAGAGGTCCTTAAGATATAGCTGACATAATACACATATAGCTGTTCTGTTGATTGTTGCATTTATCAAATGACTTTGTCATCTCTTTGGGGCAAATGCTTAATCATCCTTTGGCTGAGGTTCCAGGGATATAGAGCTTTGGGTTTGCTATTTGTTTGCCCTGCCTTTTGCTGTATTATGCACTGCTAGACTAACCAGACACAAATCAAGCAGGTACTAGTAATGACTGTCCAGTACTGACACCAGCTCATCATGTTAAGTAGTTCGCTTTTTTTTTTTATGACTGTCCAGTACTGACACCAGCTCATCATGTTAAGTAGTTTGCTTTTTTTTTCCCCCCCCAAGCTGTGAATGGGAAAAAACAAATGCATTTCTATGAAATAAAAAACACACAATCTCTAATCTAAGCTCTTCAACAATAATACCATATTCTTACATTTTCATACAATATGATGCTAATAACCATACTGTGTGCCTTGACTTTTAACAATTAGCTTACAATTACTTACACTCTGTTCCCTTGGACAATATCAACATAATCTTCTGATCGAGCATAATAGCCATCTGGGCTCAAAGCACCCCAGAAATTGGACCAAAGCTTCCCATGCCGAGTTACAAGTGGAGCAATTATCTTTCTGTGAAGTGACATATTAAATAAGAAATATGAAACTCTTAAGCATTTGATATTCATATCAGGAATTGCTATTTGAGAGGAACAAAATGATTTGTGAATTGTTGGCCTCCAAGCCCATTATGAACTATGCCAATCAAATACCACAGATAAACAAAGATCTAACACTGCAGGAACAGACTGGACCTTATTTACACTAGACAAGCCCCAGAGAATCCTTTCAAGCTAGAGAAAATTCTAAAAAATAAGAGATATACTACACCTGTTCTGTTCTATCAGTATTCTTAAAGTTTTTGGGTTTGTCAGCACAACATCTGCATCTATGCTTAAGTAATATTCACATGCTTTATCCTGGCGACAAAGGTCCCTAAAAAGATAAGAAAGAATGGTTAACTTGCATACATCCAGAAAAAATTAAATCACAAACAACAAAATAAACAAAAGATAAAAAACCCCACACCATAATTAAGTACTCTCTAACTCACTGCATTAAAAACCCTCTGCAACATAGTATTGTAAAGAAAGGTGAATTTAGATTAGTGTGATAAACTAAAAGGTTTGAATACATGAATGAGATGCCTAATATTTTTCTTTTAACAAACCAAGTGACCTCTAACCTTTACCAAGTTCAGTAAAACCTACTACACAATGTCCTAAATAAAAAAAATGAGGTGAGAGGATCATGCCACTAATGTATATAGCTGGATATCAGTACAGTCACTTAATAGTAAAGTATCACCTTATTAATTAGCAAATATCTCCTCCTCCTCTAGCAAATATCTGATGTGGCTGAATTGCTGTCTTTGGAAAAGATTCTACAGATTTGACCAGCTGATCTGAACAGTAATTGAAACCATATGGAGTATTTAAGACAAAGTATCAAGAGAAATATCTTTAAAGACCCTTTTTTAGTCTTTTTGCACAATAGCAACATGGTTGGTAAAGAGCATTATAGAGCAATTGCACAGGCAGTGAATGAAATTAGAAACAGTAATTGAATTTGTTCATACATTATTTTAATCAGTTGTGCTTTTGATCTCAGAAGAATAAGCTATTTGTATAGATTTCTACTCCTTCAAGAGAAAGCTTTCACCAAGAAGAAAACACATACTACTGTAAATATAAAAGATACAAACATAGTCTATGTTTCTGGCAGAATGCACTTGCTACACCAACACCCAGCAGAGTGAATTCAGCTTTCCTATGCCAGCAGAATAGTAGGAAATTATAGCAAATCAAATATACTTTCAGAGAAAGTGGAATATTTCCTCAAGTCAATACTACACCAGTAGCTTTCCATCATGCAGGTGATATTGATTTTTTTCTATTTTTCCTATTTTGATTCCATCATACCAGCTTGAACCATTAAAATTATTTTACTTTAATGCTTCAAGATATCTATAAACACTGCTTTAGTTTAAGTTCCACTTGATTTGATTGTTTGTGACTGTTTTCTGCAAAGGCAAAGATCTCTGTCACTTCAGAAGATCTGACAAATGATGGATGTGACAGGTTGCATACAAGTCAAGGGAACTGCTGGCCTGGCCTCCTGCCTGCTCTTCCTACACTACCTAGCATTAAATCTTCCATAAAGATTACTGCATATCAACACCTTTCCTTTCAGAAAAAGGTGTTTGGGTCTTTTTGTTCAAACTTTCTTCTGTTCAAAGGACTTTAGAGGTATGACATTGTAGGAATCACAGTAGAAGGTAGAGTTGGTTTTTTATTTCATAAATTTAAGCAATCCTTCCTCTTCAAGCTTGATCACTCAAAATGTGGTAATGATTAGAGTAAAATTTTTTAAAAAACCAAATGTCAGATATAGTCTTCCCACTATTTAGAGGTATGACATTGTAGGAATCACAGTAGAAGGTAGAGTTGGTTTTTTATTTCATAAATTTAAGCAATCCTTCCTCTTCAAGCTTGATCACTCAAAATGTGGTAATGATTAGAGTAAAATTTTTAAAAGACCCAAATGTCAGATATAGTCTTCCCACTGCTGCTGAAGTCACTGTGTTTGGACACACTCCCCCAGTTGAAATCTTTGCTCAGTCTCTGGTTTTGCCTTAACTGACATATCCTTCACTGACAGTTTTCTATCTCATGTATGCATTATTTTATGGCAGAAATTCCTTAATTAGCACTTTTCGAGCATAATTGTCCTCATTGAAATCAGCAGGTTTTATTTTGGCCATAATATGGTCCTGTAATTAAGTCTTTACTGCATTTTCAATTATGAACTTATTCTGAACACAATTCATGTACAGCTTTATCATTAGCATAATTACAATTATTAATAGTAACCTGACTTTAATATTGCACTTGGCATTAGATGGTAAATTTCTTTATCCTTATTCTAATGAAGAAAATAAACCTGAGACACCAACAGACTCAATACCAGTCTAAGATTTCAGCCACAACACTGCCCAGCACCTCCCTAAAAGCAGATAAGACTTTTGCTGCTAATGAAAATATGAATGGAATTAATGTTTTTAATTATGAAAATGTGATAAATGAAGTCAAACAGATTTATATTTAGTTGCAGGTAAATGTGTCTGGAAAATTAATTACATCATAGCAACTTCTGCCTTTTGGTTTTGCCTCCCACTCCTCCTTAAATCCAGAATCAGATAATTCTATTAGAACTCGTCCCATGTACTTAGGTGCTAGAAATCCTCCTCTTCTCCATTCACATAGTAATCCAAACCATGAAATACTAAATTAAATGTTTTGATTTGAAGTCACACTCATTCATTCAGTAATCTATTGAGAACTCTTTGAAAGCATTAGAGCCTTACATAGTCTGGAAATTTCAAGTTTACTATTCTGGCTTATTGTTTCCTCTTATTTCTTTCTCTACAGCACTGAAGACTGGATCACCTAATAGCAAAGCTTCATGTTTAAAGCATAATTATCCTAGCATTTTCAGAAACAAGTCATCATGTCAAATGCAAAGTATAAGTTTTGCCTTGACTCTTTAAGGTCAATAACAAAAATCTCCCCAGAACACTACAGGTTTCAGAGAAAGACAATGGTAAAAGTTTCAGTCAAAGTTAATACAAGGAATCAACATATCTTCTCTTTAGGCTTTCAGTGCTGCCAAGTTGCTTTCCCAAGGAAATAAATGCAATCCTGAATATTCTCACCCTGTAAAGTATTAGATCCTTGCAGTCTATGCTAACCTCTCCAGATGTAGAAATCCCAGATTATATGTGAAACTACTTGTTATCTATATTCAGGTCACTGCAACGAGCAAGTGCTTTCTAGCAATGCTCATATGTATAATAATAGTCTTTCTAATCTAAATTCAATGGCTAAACCCTTTAATCTACTTGCTTCACATTCCACCTGATCTAACCCTAAGCTTTCCTTTCAACATTTGGTCTATGTTTTTGTACAGAACTTAAAGTCATTTCAGTGTAGTGATTAACAAAAATCTAGTAGAAGGCCAAGATTTTTTTTTGTTTTAAGTATGAAGTGAGGCTCAGCAGATCAGTTTGAAGTATTTTGCAATCAGAGCAGTGTTTGACTTCATTTACAAACCACAAGCCCATCTGGAACAGTGACCTCATCTCGAAGGTAAAGTGTCAGTGCTCTTCATCATACTTTCCACTGAGATATTCCAAGAGGATAGGTGTTTATAACAGTAAGACATATGGTCTACCCAATTTATTTACCATTGAGCCACCTTTGTTGTTTAGACATAGCTTGAACTTGAAATTAATCAAGTTATCATTTTCACATGGCTCACTTAGGTACTAGGATTCCAAATTCCAACTGGTCTTCCTTTCAGTGTAAACGTTCATTAAAATATACACATTCCCACTAAAAGGCAAGGTAATTCACATTTTTTTAAAAATTCAGGAAAAATCCTGGCCATTTCTGTTATTAATATTTTTGAGAGAGGCATTAAAAATTCAGGAAAAATCCTGGCCATATCTGTTATTTATATTTTTGACAGAGGCAAAAAAAAGAAGCAACCCCCTAAAAAAAGAGACTCTGAAGTCTTAAGTACTGGGTGGAAAAAGAATTATGGAAAACATATTTTTTACAAATAAAATGTCAGAAATTCACGAGAAATTCCCATATTTCTCAAGTCTGTTGTTGCTTTAATGTATTTAATTGTTATTTTATGTTTTCTGTCATAACAAATTCTGTAACAGCTAGCTGAAACCTCATCTGCAACTAGGCAAAACCACATATGATTATTTTTATCAAGGAAGAAAAGAACCAACTGTAAGTGCTCATATTTTATAGAAAAAGGCTGAAAAAGACAGACATGGAAATGTCATTTCAGTGTTTCAAGTGATGTATGTGCACAGAAAACATTCAGACAAGATGCAGCTAAACTTTCCATCTCTTTATTCTGCTTTGTTATCCTTTCTTTTTATTTAGATTCAGCTCACAACAAGGAAAGCTGTGCACTCCAGCTTGCCAGTGTTGTTGAATTCTAACAAGTTTTTGCAGACTGCACAATTTTGGGCCCTTTCCAACACCTATCCAACTTTCACAAGCACAGGAGAGGGCTTTCCTTGTCAAGAAGAAACAATAAAGTAAATAGAATAGAATCAGAATCATCAAAGATGGAAGAGACCTCCAAGATCAAAGTCCAACCATTAACCTGACACTCTGCTGTAACCCCCAAACCATATCCTCCAGCATCAGATCCAGATGCCTCTTAAACACTTCCAGGGATGGTGACTCTACCACCTCCCTGGGCAATATTCCAGTGCCTGAACACCCTAACAGTGAAAACATTTTTCCTTACATCTAATCTGAATCTCCCATCTGCAGGCATGGCAGAAGAGACCATCCCCCACCTCTTTCCAACCTGCTTCCAGGTAGCTGTAGAGAGCAATGAGGTCACCCCTGAGCTGCCTCTTTTCAAGGCTAAACAAACCCAATTCCCTCAGCCATTCCTCATACGATGTGTTTCCTAGACCTTTCGTGAGCCTCGTTGCCCTTTGCTAGACTCACTCCAGCACCTCAATGTCCTTTTCAAAGTGAGGGGCCCAAAACTGAAGACAGTACTCAAGCTGTGATCTCATCAATGCCAAGTACAGGGGGATGATCACTGCCCTAGTCCTGATGGCCACACTATTCTTGATACAGGCCAAGATGCCATTAGCCTCCTTGGCCATCTGTGCAGAGTGTTGGCTCATACTGAGCTGCTGTCTACTAGCACTGTCAAGTCCCTTTCTGACAAAAAACTCCCAAGCCACTCCTCCCCCAGCCTGTAGCACTGCATGGGGCTGTTGTGTCCCAAGTGCAGGACCAGCACTTTGCCTTACTGAAGCTCATGCAGTAATTCTCAGCCACTGATCAAGTCAGTCCAGGTCTCTGTAGAACTTTCCTACCCTCAAGCAGACTGACCCTCCCATCCAACTCAGTGTCATCTTTAAATTTACTGAGGATGTACTCAATCCCCATGTCCAGATCAGCAATAAAGATGTTTCAATTGAAATGCTTCAATAATTCCCTACTATGTGAATGAGAAAAGTAGACTTCGGTTTGCTGCACAGCTATGGGTGAAATTGAATAAATGTTATTTTCTCACATTCATACCAATGTAAGAGCCATTAACTGAGAACCTCATTGTGATTTATCACCAGCTTTTACTGAGCCAAAAACAAGGAAAAAAGGAGAGGTCAGGAGAAACCTGATCCAGCTCCATTATATGCTCAAAAGTATTCTGCTGAAAACAAACCAGACCTTCAATGCTTAAGTTCCCTCTCTCTGTATTAATTGAAGTCTGTTTTGCTCCTTCAAATAAATAGACTCTGTGTGAAATGTCTAAGTGAGGAGATCAAATTAATTCTAAATCTACTAGAAATTAACAGAGACACACAAAGAGCAGCTACTTTGGAAAAGGAGAGAAGAACAAGTGTTTGAGGCAGACAGAGCAAAACTATCAGTCAATAATGCAGATAGAGGCAGGGCAAAATTAATCAGAAGACTAAATATATCAATGTCTGTAAATCAAAACAATAAACATGTTTGAAGAATGACTCTTTTCAAGTTATCCCCACTGAAGGATTAGTGAGAAACTTCTGCTAGAGCACTTTGGAAGGATATTCCTGCCTCTTTGAACCACAGGAAGAAGAAATATAATTCAGTCACCTGTACACCCAGGAAAAGCTTTAACCATATGCTTACTTAAATATAATGTCACCAAAACCAACCAAACAAACAAAAAAAACCCCAAAAAAACAACCAACAACCCACAAAAAAAAACCCCAAAAACAAAGAGAAAAAAGAGTAGAGACTAGGACAACTCTGCAGTAAGTTAGCTTGAAAATATTTTGGATTTAAAATAAATAAAAATAAAGCAAATACTTTTGTTTACACATTGTCTATGCCTTCATCAGGAGACAAGATCACAGACTATTGAAATGGTCCAAACCAGAGAGGTGTTTTCATAAGGACCAACAGCTTTTAATATTAGACTGACACCATAAAATACTCAGCAGTTCACATCTTATATCTAAATCTTTTCTAACAAAAGCTCCAACTTTCACATCTTAAGATATAAAGTTGTTAGCATTTAAGATGCAAAACAATATACATGCAAGATGAAAAAAATGTTAATGTATGCATCAATATAACAGACTTACAAATGAGAACTTACATTCCCATGTTCCGGGCCTCTGCTTGACTCAGATTTTCTTCAGGTCCAACAATTTTTATATTTCTGATAATGTTCTTGGCTTTTTCCCAGAATTTCTTGATGTGCTTTTCATGGTAAACCTCCTGTAATCATGTTAACATTATTTATAGGGAATATAAACTACAAATTGCTATGAAATCATAAACATAGTGCCCAACACATTGTATTCTAACCTAAATAAACAGATGCCAAATAGTATTAGAAAACAGTCCAGTATCTATCAGTCATTAAAATGAAGCTCTTCTGTCCAAAATTTTAGCAAAATAATCCAACACATCAGCATTATTAATCAAAGCTGTACAATGATGTGAGGTTCACAGACTGTTTATTTTTCCAGGGTATTTCTGTTACGATCTTTAAAACCCATCCTACAACCTCAGTGGAATAGAGGGGGGTTTTTATGCCATTCCAGAATCACTTTAGAGAGGGAACTGCCAACTGTATCAAAGTGTGCAGGCACAGACATTGTTACTTTTAAATATAGTCTCTCTGATTGCATCTTTAATTTCTATTTACCCTACCTCTAATTTACGAGATCTCAGCTGCACACAATACTTCCAAAATTGTGATCTCACTGTGGCTTTTGCCTGTTATGGCTGATATTAAAATAATTAACATATTGGGTAGGGTTTTTCCTCCCACATTTCACCTTTAACATTCCCTAACAAATGCTTTAAAGACAAGATCTACTGCTATTACTCATCCCTTTTGTGCTATTATACCAGTAGTAATGCAAACTTAGGGAAAAATGATAGAAGTAAGTTTTACTCCCATTTCTCTTCCAGCTCAGTTTCTTCCAAAAGGCTTACACATCTGACACCTCACTCATTAAAATCATAGATTCACAGAATGGTTTGGGTTGGAAGGGACCTTAAATATCATCTCCTTGCAACCTTCCCAGCCATTGGCAAGGACACCCTCCCCAGACCAGGCTGCTCAAAATAGCAGAACTGACTGAAGTCACTGGTGAAGTAACAGCAACACCAGATCATTAGGTAATTAGCAAAAAGTATTTAAAAAACCTCCGACAACTTATGTTTAGTGACAATCAGAATATGTCTGAACACACCAGTCTTTCCCATGGGACCCATTAGGAGTGCCAGGAGAAACACACATGGATGGAGTATCAACAAGATGAACAGCAAATCCCAAGTCAACTATTAGATGACAGTTATTAATAAGATGCTGTAACATTTGGACAGTCCTGAAGTGTCAGACAGTTGGCCTAGATGATCATTGTAGGTACCTTCCAACTGAACTATTCTAATCTTAATCTACTGTAACATTTTATGTCAATCAGTATTTCCTCTAGAAGCTCACACTTCAAAATACATTTTTCAGCAGTAAGAGAATCTAAGCAGTTTCTTTAAATAGACTTCAGTAAGCCCTGCCACAATTTCATTGAATTTGTGTATTTTTTCCAGCTCTGCATACTAAATTCTGAAAGGTTATCTGTTCCTATACATTTTAACTATGCCCCTATACAGAATCCATATACGCCCTCGCACACTGATTCACAGAATAATTTCCAAAAATTGAAGCTTTGCACAATAATATCATCATACTCACATTGTTATGAACGAAGATACTGAGTGCCTCCCGTGGGTAGTCCAGAGTCAACAGTCTGTCTAAAAATTTAGTTAGGAAAGGAGTGGGTTGTTCAATGAAAACACCAATTTTTACTCTTGGATATTCCTAAAAAAAATGATATTTTGACACAACCAATAAGATTTGCCTCCTTTCTAAGATTAGTAATATGAAAGAGCAACTAAAGTCATGTTGTAGTAAAAACTTAGTCCACACAGCTTTCAAGCAATCAAAGCCAGCTAGCTCAAAAGAGCTATGAACCTTTTTTATTTTGACTAGCTTCACAAAATAAGCAAAGATAATGGAGTTAATATTGCTAGAAAACTCCGTGAGTTCAATAACAGAAACTGGAAGTAGAAAATAATGTATTATGTTTTTTTTTAAATTCTTACTTTTAAAAAAATACTAAAATGACAAAAAAAAAGGCATTTAAAGAAATATACCAGTAGAACAGCATGGTAAATTAATTTTTTGAAAATAACATACACACATAAGTTACATTTACAAGAAAATATAAGGAAGATCAGTTTTCCAGAAGTAATCAAATAATAAATACCACAAACTATTTTACTCATCTATACTTTAAACCAAAGGCTGCAAGTCACTTCTGTAAAGTTCTCTCTGACCATTTTAAGTGAGCTCTGCTTTACTTCCCTACTCACTGATTTTAGAAAGACCTTTGATGATCTAACTAGATCATCTCCCCTGGCATCCAAGGATATCAAACTTTTCTGCACCTTAAGGTGAATTTTGAACAGCAGTATTAATTCCTGGTTTGTACGTGCTTGATAGAGATCATGACCATTGAAACAAACATGGAGAGCATTCCTGTATTCTTCAAGTATATTATTACATTATGCAAGATAAAGCCATTAAACCTTCAAAGGCTTGGACTCCTACACAAAGAAATACACTGATGAAACCAAATTTATTTCCATCTCTAAACCAGACAGCTATTATAAACATCTATCCCACTGCAAGGCTCAGAGAAAAGCCTTATATGAATATAAAAGGCCGCAAAGTTAGCTTTCCTTAAGCAAGCCAACACCTGCTTGAAAAGTGTCTGGATAAGCCATCAACTCATGCTGAGGTTTTCCAGTGTCACTGTCTGCATTGGAAATTCAGAAACACCCTGGCAGAGGCAGCAGATCATAAACATGGAGCACAAATGTTTACCTTGACAACCCCCTGCTCACAACTTCATCTGCAAACACAGCAAGCACTTCATGCAGAGAGCCTAATAACTTCAAAGTAACTGATGAAAACAAGTACACTGATGAATCATGAAAAAAAGCACCTGTAATATTCTCTGGTAACCACTGATTGCAAGTGACAAGGAAAGCAGCACATGCCATGGGGCTAAACTGGGGATGCACATGTACTTCCAATGCTACACCTGCTGCAATAATTACATTTTGTACATTTTACTAATTCTAAGTCATTTTCCCCTTTATCTCTTGGATAAAGAAAAATAGATTCAGGCTGGATCTGCAAAGGTTATAGGGAGAATGGGGACGTTAGAGTTTCTGACAAATTTTCTCATTTTCACTGAGGTCATAGATTTGACTTTTAAAGTTTACTTTTTCCACAAGCAGTAGTTGAGCATATGAGAATTTTTGAAAGAAACACAAGACAATGTCTCAGTCCAACTACACAAAGCAAAATCCAGGATCCCTTGGCACAAGAGTTGACAGTGGTTATAGGGAGAATGGGGACGTTAGAGTTTCTGACAAATTTTCTCATTTTCACTGAGGTCATAGATTTGACTTTTAAAGTTTACTTTTTCCACAAGCAGTAGTTGAGCATATGAGAATTTTTGAAAGAAACACAAGACAATGTCTCAGTCCAACTACACAAAGCAAAATCCAGGATCCCTTGGCACAAGAGTTGACAGTGAAGTGAGAGGATAGGTCACTCTTACTCTTTCCAGCAAAGTCTCCATACCAGTAACAAGCTTTAGGATTTAAGAAGCAATTCTAAGGAGTTCTAGTTTGTTGTCCAATTTAATTTAGGTTGTAGAAAAATAAGAAAAAAATTATTTAAAGTGGCAAAAATTTACACTTATTGAGTCTGTGTGTGTTCTTCAACTTATTTTTCATTACACTGCTTTACCTGGGCAAGTAGCTAATTTGGGGGTGTCACAGGCTGCTGACATGACCAGAAGAAAGCAATTACTGAGTGTTTCCACACTTCAGCCATGACCACAGCCTGGGAAATCCTGTGTCTGTGAAGAAGACAAGGACTGAGCAAAAGACTCTGCCTATGTAGCTCTCGGGTCCTTTGCAGGTAACCCCCAGAACCAAGCAAAATCCTCAGAAGATATGAGTCTATAAATGCATAAAGTTTAAAAAAAAAGAATATGGAAAAAATAATTAGAGGCACAGAGCTGATATTGCTCTTTTCACTGAAGATTTCTTGTTAAGTAGCAGCCAGGCAGGCCTGAACAGAAAGTGTGCTCAGAAAATGAAATACTGCTTGTACTTTGAAATGCCTGAAGTAAACACTTCGAGGCCAAGGAGAGGTCTTGTTATTTCTGCTGGCAGAGGAAGTGAGGTATGAAGTCCAAAGAATGCATTACAGTAAGGAAGATACATTCCAAGTAGATATACATCAACTATAAGAAGTTATCCAGCAAATCATTGAAAGCTACTCCTAATTACTGGCTTTAACTGCTCCCCAACCATGTTTTAATTACCAACACCTTTAGGACAAACTTAAGACAGCTTCTTTCCTCAGGTAAACTTTATGATGTGAGTGCAGACATTGCTACACCATTCAAATGTTATATTATTGAAAAATATAAAAAGAATCTGAAAATTATTGCAATTTCAACAATAACTTTTTAAAGTTATATTCCAGTCCATAAGCTACTTATTGCCCAGAAATTCTTGCACTTTTTTCCTTTCATTACCAAGATAACAACCCAATACTTCTTTCATGCTACCATCAACATGACCTTCTAAGACCTGTTCTCATTTAAATCTTCAATGCAGAACAGAATTGCAACAGCTGCTGGAAACAGCCTGTTAAGAATAATCAGAATGTGTGTTTAATGTCCAAGCCTTATGATTCCACATGGTAGAGCTTAGTATTTACTCTGCCTAAAATTGACTGAATAGAAGCTGAAATATTCATAAAGCCACTAAAGATGTCATGCTGGGAGCCAAAGTTGCCAAATATTGGATATACACACATGCCACGTGCATGTGTATGTTTGTTCTATAAAAATTCTAAAGACTGAACTGAAATCCAATCTCAATTACACCAGATTTAAGCTACAGAAACACATTTGCATGTTTAATACAGATATCTGCATTGTCCTTTATCAGGTAGAGAAACAGTCAAAACTTCTTTTGGATGTTTTGGAAAAACTATTTGGAAAATAGTAATTTCTAGCCATGTTGCCAGGTAGAGAAACAGTCAAAACTTCTTTATCTCAGAAAATAGTAATTGTAGCCATGTTGAAGTGAACAATTAAACTATTTGTGATAGAAATTGTTCAGTGATGCATCTCAAGTATTTTGTAGGTCTGCTGTTAAAAATCTGAAATATCTAGATTTTTTTTTCACATCCTGCAAAATTCTAATTATTCACTTTTACCTTGGATGATTCAAAAATTATTCATTCACCCTCAGTGAGCAGTGGGAAGGATCTGGAGGGAGTTTTGGGGATGGGATCATTTTGGTCATATTGGGGAAACCTATATTTAAACACATGCATACGAACATTTCTAAAAATACTGATAATGCCAGTAAATTAAAATTTCATCGTTACAGTTTCATATACCAGAAAAAAAAAGTCCTGAAGGTCTACAAAACATAATATTGCATAATGAAGCCACTTTGCCCCAGAAATCACTACACATCTATCAACTGTATTCAAAAGGGGTTTCTTGTAGTGAAAATTATTCTTACCATTACTGTTGACAGGTCCAGTAAATCTAAATCACAAACACTGCAACCAGTTTCCCGTGTCCAAGCATTAGGAATATAGTTTCCCAAATAATTCAAGTGAATCTGGTAAATAAATGAACAATTCAGATTAATTTAAGATGCATGCAAATGATGATCTGTACCTTTCAAACAATTCAGATTTACTCATTCAATCTCTTGTACCTAAAGGCAAGTGACAACAAAGAAACATCCAAAAATAGCTGGTAAAAACCTTTTCTTATTCCATCAAGTCTAAAAAAAGAGTATTTCATAAAGATGACATTGCACTTGAGAATAAAAATAAAAGTATTACGAGTCAGAAGATGAGGATAATCTGGGATCTGTTTCAAAGAAGTGTCTCTGACTGATGCTATTTACTAATCTGTAAATGGAAGATATTAAATACAAAACAGAGGGGTCTTACCAACAAAAGCCTTTTAACTATTTGGAGTTAATTCTAGCAATTACTTTCATGCTAATTTATTCAATAACTAGTGAAAAGTTTTTCCAATCCTATTATACTATTGTCTCCTTAATTCTATTCTATAATTTAAACAGAAGAATCTAATCACGTTGACAAAGTGATACATAGCAAAAGTTTCCTCTTTGTTTTTAAAACTGCACCACTACATGCAGAGATGGAGTTTTGTTTAATGCAGCATAACTCAGGGATTAGTATAAAGTGTTCCATCCTAAACTGTATGCCCAACTGCAAAACACAGAGCTTTTCTTTTCACTGGCAAAGTGTCAGCAAATCCAGTGATGATAGATAACTTGAGGATTTAATTGAGGCAGAAATCGCTGTAGCAACATGAAAGAAATTGGTCATATTTCACCACTACTAAGTAATTATAAGCCAAACAGATAAAGGGATCATTAAATTCACCAATTCCAAAAATTAAATACAGTGCAAAAACTAAGCAGCAGCAGTCTCTGGGATATTAATGAGTTTCAAACTTTACTTCACTCCCCTGAAAGATATTTTTCTGAAGATAAGGAGCTACAGTAAGGAACATTTCTTCACAATTTAGAAAGTAGCCATGCCCAATCCTTCAGCCAACAGATGCTACTAGAAGTGATGGACCTTTACACTTTGTTATACAACAAAAAAATGCAACTGCCAAGTACCAAAGCACAGCTATTTCTCTGAGAAACTGTGCCAGGTCCCCTGGACTACTGAATCCTTACATGTGAGCAGAATCTGTTGAAACTGCTGTTTTGCAGGGCAGACAGCTCTACCATGAACCCAAAGCTCATGTGCCATGGGCACATTGTAGGCAGCAATTAATGACACTGAAAACAACAATCAAAGCCAGCCATGGTGTGTACATATATACACACACATGCATACAGATAGATTTATTACTTTTTTTTGCCTAGATAATATTATTTCTATACATGTGTATACACACCCAGGTCTGCAGTAGGTACAGATGTGTTACTGTTTTGTATCCCAGCCTGTCACTCTGGGTTAATTACCCTCTCCTCCCCCTGAAAACCTATTCTTCTGATTATCATGTCCTAACCAGATAGATATTCTTCACCAGCTTCAAGAACTGCTTTGTGGCAGTGATCAAATGAACATAATTTGCTTCTAATATCCCATGCTACAATGAATTTGGGAGCAGAATGAGTTGTTTCAGCAGCAAAATCAAGTCACAGTGACAGCAGAATAACGTGATGTATTATAATGGGGATTTTATCCTCACAATTCCTAATCACATGAAATGGAAATGTGCCATGGTGGTGTGCTAGGACTGTTTCAGGCTCTTCTACCATTGGCTTTTTTGCCTCTATTAAAATTGTGGGTTTGCATGAAAATAAAAAGAGTCACTCACTTTAGTTGGACCATTTCCATGAATGGTGACTGGTAGCGTGTCGTACACTGAATTCCTTGCCCTTACTTTTCCCTCTTCAAATTTCAAAAGGACTTCATCTGCAAATCAACAAAGTCATACAGGAATAAGTTCATAAATAAAAGCTAAAATATCAGAGCTCCATAAGTCCTTGCTGATGCTATCAGTCTCAGTGTTACTTATTTGGAAGCTTTTGTTCTTTTTTGTTATTTTTGTTTTGGGCTTTTTTTCATAACTAGATCTTGAATTCTAAGCTCTTTATGCTAAATAAGGTTCCATCAAACTTCAGTTTGCCATTGGCAGCCTTGAATACTGGAATAAAACCTGCTTTAAAAATAACTCTAATTTAGTGCAAATGCTATTTATAGAGAAATCAGAGATTTTTCAGATATGATCTGACTATAAAAAGTTGCTCCATAATTGGAGGTTAAATGTAAGAAAGCAAATTTGCAGAGATGCCATTTTTCAATTTAAATTGAATTAAGGAAATTCTACATTATTCCACATTCCACTTCATTATGTATAGCCATTTGCTTGACAATATCTAAAATGCAATTTTAATTACCAATCTTACTCCTGTAATTAAGTTTGTGAAAGGCAGATGGAAAAATGGTTCTTAACTCTGTATTTACTGCTAACTTCATTTATTGAAAACTCTTTTTTTAAAATTTAAATCAAATATTTAATCAGTGGGAGAAGTTAATTAATATTTAACCCAAAAGACCTGCAACTAATCTGGTCATCATCATCTTTAAAACAAGCATATATTTAGGGAACTACATTCATGATTGAGCAAAGAAAGTGTTAATAACAGTTAATAAAATATAACATGTAAATCATACACTTACCCACAGCTCCATTTAAGGTCTGGAAAATTGTACATTTGTGGTCCAAAGTAATATTAATACGCTCCTGAAATAAAAGTACCACAGATGTTGAGGCCTTCTAAGAGCCAATGTTTTTACAGTAACATTGCAATTCTACCACAGTGGAAATAAGTAACCAGGCAAAACTACATGCTCAGTTCTTTATTTCACACTGTTATATTTTTCTATATTCCCGAGTTGTGCAGCTGTATAGAAATCAATTATATATGTGCAGTAACTTTATCTAAACTTGCAGGATAAAGTTCATAACTCTGCAAAGGAACTGCAGTTTAGCAGTATAAGCCAAAGAAAATTTGTGTCTTGAAAAAAATAATTAAGGAGTCTTGGCCAAGCAACAAAACATACTGTGTTTCACAATCTTGATACAAAAGCCAAATTTAAGTATCGTGTCAGAATAGAAAACATCAGTGGTTTTAAAACATGTTCCTAACATTGTATTATTAATCCTACTTAGATTCTTACTTGAAGTACCATATTTTCCATTTTAAAAAGGTTGAACGAAGCACATAATCGGGAACACACACTTGAAAACCCTTGTACAGATAATGAAGAGGGTGGTCAAACACTGGATCAGGCTTCCTAGAGAAGTTGTCAATGCCCCCAGCCTGACAAGTGTTTAAGAGGCATTTGGACAATGACCTTATAACATGCATTAGCTTTTGGTCAGTGCCATACTGGTAAACCAATTGGACTAGATGTAGGTCCCTTCCAATAGAAATATTCTATTCTATTTCTGAACATGTATCCAAACAGACCTGGCTTTCCATTATGTTATGACAAAACCAACATGTATATATTTCAAAAATTTTACATCTGCCTTAAGCATTCAAATGATCAAAATCGTTCTCAAAATTCTTCCGTATCAGCTTCTAAAAGTCTTTTTGCATCAATACATTGTCAACTTCCCTTAGTCTTCTTTTTCCAGCATCAGCCTCTGATATCTATCATGCTTTAATGCTGCTATTCAGCAGAGAACTTTGTTAAGCTAGAGTACAGAGAGGTCTTCACCAAAAATTGATGATGCAGCTTTATTTGAACGTGTTTGCACAAAAGCTGAAGACAGGATCTGAAATGGCAACAAGTCAAAATATAAAACACTGGATCAGCAAGTAGTTCAGTGACATCCTGGAAAAATGCCACATTCTCTGGCCGTCAAACCGCCAAGTACATGGGACCCTTATTGAGATGAATGTGTCTGATCATATACCTCAGAGCTATTATTTCTAACAATGAAGCACAACCTGCCTGGATCTGAAGACAGCCTGAAATAATAGATCAAGTCATGACCCTTCAGAAGCCTGTTCATCATTCCAACAGTAGGAACCTCAGGAGAGCAAACACAACTGTCAACATGGCACTCCAGAATAAAGAGAAAGCATTCCTTTTTATCTCCTGGTGTTTTATGAGGAGCAGCATGTTATTTCAAGAAGAAAGAAATGAGAAAGCCAGTTGCTACCTACCCTTGCCAATGGGTCAATATAGATTTTGGTGTAAAACAGCTGGTCATCATCATTATCCTGCAGATTCCACTGCTGCACAATACGATTTATATGTGGAGCATAACCAATAAATCCTGCAACATCACACACAAATAGGTTATTTCTATAAAAAAAACACTACTCTGCCAATGCTGTCTGCTAATCAGGGACTTCACTCTGACTGGGGCCAGCAAAAGAAAAGTATGAAATTCATGAAACTTGGCTCAAAAATCCAGTTTTCTTCCTGTGATATGTACCAATTCTGTTTCAAAGAGTTCATAATTAAGGATTATTTTTATGCTAATACTATTCTAAGAAAAAAAATAAAACAGATCTGTTTAGGATGGTCTGGAAAATGCCAACACATGAGATTAGACTTCTACTGTTCTTACACAGCCCTTCTGTGGAAAAAGTTACATTTTCATCAATCACTTCTTACTGGCAGAGATGCCTGAATCTACTACTGCCAGAAATACAAAGAGAATTCAACTCAAAACCAATATATATTATTTTTAAGCCAAAATAAAAAAAGATAGGGCAGACAGGTGAGGTAAAGGAGGAGCAAAAGAAACTGGGACACACCTAGATCTGCTCACTGGTCAGCACCATGTACCTAGAAGTGACACACTGTGCTCTGTAGCAGTTATAGAGTATCAGTGTATGTATTAACTGCAAAATTATTATCAAGGCTGGCATTTAAAAGAGGATTCCAGAATTAACCCATCACTGAGAATAACAGAAGGAACTCCCACTTCTTTTGGAATAAACTACATAAGCCATGCTGACAGGCCAGGCAGAGCTACCAGCACATCTGCACTGTATGCAGACATCTCCAAGAACAGCCAAGTCAGGAAATTCTGTGACCCAACTCAACTGTGCCTATAAACAGCATGTGCTGCTTTGACTGGGCTTGGACACTATATTGTTTCTGAAGCAACTGGGTCACCCTTGCACAGCATGTCATTGCAATGCACAGTGGCTTGCTAGGCTGTTACTTTATTTACCTACTGCTTACAAGTTATCACCAAACAAACACTATGCAAGTCTGAATGAAAACTTTGCTTGAGCACAGAAGAGGAACTGTTCAAATGTGGAGGAGAGATAAAAAAGATGACAGCAGAACCCAATCCTCAATTTTACACTTGGGGAATTCAGGAACAGTTGGACACACAAATACATAAAACAGGTAACAGAAGCAAGTCGTGTTCAAGAGTTTAATGTGTTCAAGGATTGCACTTGCCTCCTGAGTTCAGGAATCGTTTTCCACTTCGGACAACAGGATACTTATCAGCTAGCCTTTTATCTGGCCAAATTAGTCCATCTGCTGCAAACACCACTTTATGATTAGTTTCCTGAAATTTCTTCAGCAGTTCTTCAGGGCCTCCCGAAAATATAACATCATAGCTGAAATATAAAGAAAATACATCCATTAGATTAGTTGAATTTTCATGTTTCTGTGTTCAAAACAAGTCATTGGAATATTCAAATTTTAAAATGACTCAATTGAATAGTGTTTTACCATCATGTAAAAATTTTATACCCCTCTAGGAAAAAACTTCAATCTATACTATTTGCCCAATACAGTTTCCCCTTTTGTTTTTTAACCTTCTGTAGGAAAAAACTTCAATCTATACTATTTGTCCAATACAGTTTCCCCTTTTGGTTTTTAACCTTCTCATTTGGACATTGTTTTTCCTTGGCATTTTGTTTACATGAAATTGATTTTCCTATTTCAGGTATTTTGAGTTTAAAAAATATTTTTTCCCCTTTAGAAAACTGTTTATGCTTTTAACAACAATAAAAGAAAAAAGAAAAAAGAAAAAAAAAGAAAACTTGACAGAGTAGGACTGAAAGATAATGTAGGTGACTTTCACTGGGAAACTGTAGATGATCCTGTTCCAAAACACAAAAGCACAACAGACTTTTCTGAAAAGACTTACCAAGAACACACTTAGGAATTTTTCAGTAAGGTCTAGTTGCCCATAAACTTACACTGTGTTGCATCTTGCCAATACATAGATTTCTCCCCTTCAACCTATTTACATGTTGATCAGATTTGAGTCTCATTTCCTATTGAGGACAAAGTCCTAAAGGTGAAGGACTTATCTTCAGCAGTTACCCACAGCTGAAGGTCAACACTACTCCAAAACAGAAAAAAACCTACATGGCTTTGGCAAAGATCATGTAAGAATGTAGTATCACAAGCCTAGTGGTTTCTTCTTGTTGAAGCATATCTAAATCAATGCCTCTGAGGGGGGAAACATCCAAACAACCAAACAAAACCTGAAAAAACACACATAAAGTACAAAAATTTTCAGAGTATAAGGTTTCTTTATTTGTACTTGAGATCTACATATAAAAGCAATGGCTTTGGCAAAGATCATGTAAGAATGTAGTATCACAAGCCTAGTGGTTTCTTCTTGTTGAAGCATATCTAAATCAATGCCTCTGAGGGGGGAAACATCCAAACAACCAAACAAAACCTGAAAAAACACACATAAAGTACAAAAATTTTCAGAGTATAAGGTTTCTTTATTTGTACTTGAGATCTACATATAAAAGCACACAGAGAAACATCCAAACAACCAAACAAAACCTGAAAAAACACACATAAAGTACAAAAATTTTCAGAGTATAAGGTTTCTTTATTTGTACTTGAGATCTACATATAAAAGCATGATTCACAGAATGGTTTGGGTTGGAAGGGACCTCAAACATCATCTGCTTTCAATCCCCACACCAGGCAGGGATGCCACACATCCCTGGTTGCTCAGGTTGCTCAAAGCCACATTCAACCTGGCCTGGGCATTGCCAGGAATGGAACATCCACAACTTCTCTAGGCAACCTGTGCCAGTGCCTCTCACTTCAAGGTTCACTTTACAGAGCATGAAGAATGACCCACAGATTAGTCTCTGGCTGAAGCAGCAAAATATTTGAATTTAATGCCAGCATCACGGCCTCACAGTTTCTTCATCTGAATGCAGGTTATATTCTTATTCCACCCAAGTACCTTAGTAATTGAAAATCATCAGCCTTGGTATATGGCAAAGGAACAGTACAGCTACCAAGAATCAAGGTCCAACCTTGACCAAGACTTTTTTTTTTGTAAAGTCTTTTAGCTGGGCTAACAAGGACAGCTATACCCCCACCTGCAGTACACAACTTTTTGCATTGCAATGTAGGACCCAGCAATAGCACCAACAGATCAACCATTACTGACTTATGATACTCCATTATTACTCTTCTTATTTAAGATATCTTTTCTTTGAAGGGCATCCCATGAAATTGGCCTAAGAAAACTGAACAACAGCTGCATTACAAAGGCAAAATAAGATTTTCACTGCAAAGCAAAGTATGAACCCTGGAGAGGAACTGTGTTATATAGCCTACGTAAGTGGGTTTCTTAAAACTCTCACTGTTATGTTTTTCTGTAACTTTGGCAGAAGAATGCATGAGAGAAATATTCTACATTTTGGAGCTTTCCCAGTTTTGCAAAAAAATGCCTGTTTCTGCCCAAATATACAGGAATATACTTTGCTCCCTTTTCCATTCAATTGCTGTAGCCCAATTCAATGCCAGAATGAGCCTGTAGAACGAGGAAGAAACAGGAGACAACGAAGACAGACAAGAAGAGATTTGTCTGAGGCTTTAACTTAATAGCTTATGGCAGGCTGTGCTTCTCCTCTTTGATCAGGTTAGTGCTGCTGCTGCTATGACTTACAGCTGCAGGAAGGAACCAAACACCCCTGGAACATTGCTTCCAAGGACTATCATTGAAAGCCAAAGCTGAGCAACATGTTGAGCCAGCCACAGGCTCTGCTTGTGAAAGGGATATGCTACTTAATACAGCAGAGTTTATAATCCAAAGGAGCTGCTAAACTGCAATGGATATTATGCAGGAGCATTAATCCAGCATGAACCTACATTTTTCACTGATGTTCAGCCCTCTATTTTGTCAAGAGGTGACTTATATGAACCTACATTTTTCACTGATGTTCAAAGCCCTCTGTTTTGTCAAGAGGTGACTTACTGCCACCACACCTCTTCCTGGCCAGGACACCTTCACCAGCCTTTCACCCCTTTCTGCCACTGTCCTCATCAGCTGCTTCTCTCCAGGCAACAGGGAAAACTTCTGGACTCAAATGAAAATCTATAAATCCATAATTCACCTTGTTTACTTGATATGTCAGACTACATTCAGTCTATCCAGCATTCAACTCCTACTCTAAGGGAGGATTCACCTCGGGTCTAAACCACTAAAACTATCATAAAACAGGTCCCAGGACTATCCTTGAAAGTTTATACTGTTATTATGGAAGATGCACATGACTAACTTTAAACAGGACTTCAAAACTTGAGAGGGAAGAAAGGGTGTGGATCTATCCAGGAAAAAGCAGGCTTCCTTGGCAACAGGAAAAGCTCAGATACTCTTTTATTTATACTTCATAAATCCTTCCAATTAAGTAGAAAGCAAGAATAAAACTAACAGAAAAAAAAATAAATCAGAAAGTTTCCACAATCCAAGCCCATTTCCTGAAGTTCCCAGATGGCAGATGTTTGGGACTGAAATCCACTCATCCCTCTTCCTCTTTTGCAGAAGCAAAGCATCCTGGCTCCACATCCAGCACAGGGAAACACAACAGTGACTCGGGTCCTCTAGCACTGATTAAGCAATTTTTGCATCCACAACTTTCATAACAATGAGGACTTGTTAAGGATCACACCTTAACCATTCTGAGATATGTAGAAAATAGGATTATCCTTTAGTTTCTGAAAAATGTGAACACACAAACCCCAGTGAAACAAACAACAAAGAAGCTTCAAAGCTCTTCCACGATACAAAGAGATGGATGTGGGAGTTCTGGATGAACAGACACCATCAATCAATTTATCCAGTCTACACTGGCCATTAGCCAGCTCAATCTGAAATGGTCCAAAACAAACCAGTAGTTAGCTTATGCAAAACTGAGCCTAATTTAAATAGCATTCCATCTGCAGGTATTTTGCTGTCTACACCTAGACACAAGCTGTCCACAGAAGTTCAAATTAGTTCCAGAATTCTGATCCATATAACAAACTACTCAAAAAAAACCCCAACAAAAAACCCCAAGAAACAAAGTTTGTTAAGTAAACAATTCCCTAGAAATTGTTTGCCTAGTTACAGTAAGCAAACCAGACATTTCCTTTCCCCAACCCAAAGATTAATATTCCAAATGCTTCACAATGAATACAATAAAACACATCTGAAGAAAGAAAGATCATTTGTCTTTTGCAAACTTACTGCTACATTGATCAACATTTAAATTGCAAACCAGGATTTATGGAAATGAAAAAGCTCATTAGAAATAAAATATAATGCTAGAATCAGCAAACTATTTTTTTTTCCTATTTGGAATCAGTCCCACCAGCTTTAAATAAATATGTACTTGGGATTATGGACTTCAAGAATTTAGGAGGCCTTAAACCTCAAGAATTTAGGAGGCCTTAAGCTCTGATTTTTCATGGCCAGAATGATTATGGCATCTGCAATTCAATACACATGGTCCTCTGTACTCTTTCATTCATGCCAGCAGATAACAAGTTCCTCTAGAGAAGAAATTATGATGGAGAAGAATTTCAGCTATACCCTGGTAACAATCTGATAACAAATTTGCATATTTTACCATATGGGGAGAAAATAGTGATGAATCAGGATAATAAATTTGAAAACAATTTAAGTAGAAAACACTTGGAAAATGTTTGATTTAGTAAAGAACAAAATCTTCCAAATTAATTGTTAGAACTTTCAGTTATTGCATGGTTAGTAGGACAACACTGAACACATGTGTTTAGAAAAGATACTTTTTCCACCTAAAAAATGCAAAATTGATCATGTCAGTAAGAAAAAATTCAAAAACTGAACATGTACCTCCAAACTATGTTATTTTTGCAGTCAATTAAGCATACAAAGAAAATATTCAGCACAGTGAGCTTCTCTTATAATGCCTATTTATAAACTAGTGAAGATGATTTAGAGTTTTGGTTTTCTAGGTCTATCTTCTACTCATCACAAGAGGTAAAATTCAAACAGAAAACTGAGTAACAGCTTTGCATTTGCTGCTAGTTTAATACTTTCATGAAGTGTTAACTTATGCAAAACAGCCAACTAATTTTTCATAAAATGCCAACATCCAACTGCTTTCTCTCTTGGGATGTACAAATCCTGACAAAACTCTACTTTGAAAAAGTGTCCCTAAAATTCTTCAGTTGTCAAATTTTAATAACTAACTAAATAAAGCTGGTTAAAAGCTGAAAGAGGATTCTGAAGCAGACATTCCAACGTGACTTGGTAACAGCTGCATGAACCCATGTGTGAACATCTCCAATCTTGCACTCAGCTACCTCTCCAAGGCTGCCAATCTGCAACTGGGACTTCTGATTCAAGACTTGCTCCCAGGCCTTCCTTGCAGTGATTATTTTAGAGCTGTGAACTCACTTTGGTTAACACTAGCATGGAAGAGCTTGGCAGCTGCTGTAAAATGGGTTCTTAGCTGCTCTGATCATGCTGTTGTCATAGGAGCAAGAGGAGAAGGCAAAAAAAAAAAAAAAGCAGAGGGAAGCAATGGAAAAAGTGTCATTGGAACATGTTTGAGCTCCATGTTTTCTGTGGCAGGGAGAAACCTATCTTGCCTCCAGGGCAGATGTTCAAGCATAGCTGTGCTGTGAGCTGTAATCTGGCACCCACATCAGTACTGTCTCTCCATCCTTCCATCACACAGACACCACAGGCACCAGGGGTACATCTGGCACCAAGCCTCTTGTTTCAGTTCTCTAACATGTAAAAGAAGTTCTCCTGGTAAGTGCTTCCCTCAGGGGCCCATTTTCCAGCTTTCTCCATAATCACTGTTCCTTCATGGAACAAGATTATGTCTCTGGTCCCTACTGGCCACTTTACTTCTGAAGCTGCTTTTGCTCCCCCTCCCATCCACACTCCCAGCCTGCAGCCATGTCCTGCTCTCACTGCAGCTGAACAGGGAGAGGACAAATGCTTGCCTAAAACCCTGACAGCTCCCAGTAACATTTTTTTAACCCCCCTGAGGCAGCAGAACTATAAATATCTTAGATCTGCAAATCTGTTAAAAAAGTAACAATTGCTCCAAAAGCAATCGACTGCTTTTATGAATGAATGAATTTATAGAAGCAGACTCAAATAAACAGCAAAGGGGAAAAATAGCATGCAACTTTCAGTGTGTCACAGCACCTACTTTGGCATGCCTACCCAGACTAAAACAAAAAACAAAACAACCAAGTTTGCTCACCATTCCACAAACAATACAACTAAGTCCTCTTGATTGGCATAGCTTTCTATGCCTTCTTTCAACAGTCGAACCTTCTGCCCTCCACCAATAGAGTTAGGCAGCTCACCACCTTTCCACTCTTCACCTTTTCCAAGAACCTGGAATAAGAAAAAAAAAGACACACTTTTTGCTAGTACCCAAAACCATGAGGCCTTTTTTTTTTTTTTAAGCAGACATTGAAAACAGATGTTAAAGCAGAAACAACACATTAAAGCATAGCAAGGCTGCACTTCCAGCATCATAAGTTTTCCATGTCTGAAGCAGCATTTAGCACAATGACATCACTGCAAAAACATGAGACATTTCTTAACCAAATAAGAATCAAGCAATTGCCTGCTACTGCCATTTATTCAAATGTGTGTCCTTCAGGAAAAAAAAAAGAAAAATCTAGTAATAGTTTCACAATTTGTATTAGAAAAAACATTCTGAATGAGACCTTTAAAAGCCAATAGAATCACTTGAGGAACAGGAAGCTCAGGAGATCTTGGTGGATCAGGGCATAAATAATTCAATTGCAAGTCCAAAAAGGGAATGACAGGTTCCCCAATACACAGCTTGCTGCTAAAGATCAGCTAAGAAGAAAACTCCTCTCCAGCCAAGCATTATAGAAAATTACATGTCAAAAAAAAGAAAAGAAAAATAAACTTTTTGAGGGTTTTGAACATAATGTTTTTGGAACTTATAAAACCTGGAAGAACTATGTATCATGGCATTGTGGACAACTCTGCAGAGCTAACAGATACATCCAGAGCTCAGGCTTCTCAGATGTTTTAGTACAGCTTTATCATACTAGTAAAGTTTCGCTCAGTCCTTCGAATTCAGTGGTAGAAGTCAAACTTCAGAAACCCAAATAATTTCCTATTTATAGTGCAGACACTGTGGCAAGCACAAAAAATTCATAACACCATCTGAATTCCTGGATTTTTGTCTTGGCAGAACCAATTTGTGGGAAAAGTTTAGAAGGTTAGTGCCCTCCCTTTTTCCCAAGGTCATGCAGAGGCCAACCTCAGTATGTGACATACAAAGACATGGAGCAAGGCAGAGAAGACTGGCAAGAATGATAGAAACACACTGTCCTCTCAGAGAATTACAGGTTCCAGGGAAACACAGTGAAATTTTGAGTTGTGACCTTCCCTCCTTCCTCACAGCAGGGAACCAGCCCTGCTTATGGAAAGATATCCAAAGCCCTTGGAGTGCACTGCCCCTTCCAGAAGTATTCACTCAAACAAAATCAGCCACACTGAAAAGCAAGGCTATATGATAAACCCTGACAGAACCTATAAGTGACTGAGGATGCTGATCACAAAGCTACTAACCTGTAAAGCAGCTCCTGAGGCAGTGGAAGCATCTCCCTCCCATTAGTGGTTCAGAGAGGGATGAGCAGGTAAGCAAGAGGGAGAGCAGCAAGTGCCCTCCCCACCTGCCCCCAAGCTCTGCAATGTTTTACGTTGCCCCAGCATGAAAGAAAGCTAAGGCAAGGTCAGTTACCATTGCACTGCTTCTGTCTTAAAGCATATACAAAACCAAACAATGGTACAAAAACATCCAATACCTTCACTGTGTAGTTGAAGTGCTTTGCAGTTCGCATGAAACGGTGAAACCCATCGGTTTCTTTAGTCGCTACAGTAAAAACTAGTAGTTTATCTGTGGGAGAAAAAGAAGGAACATGTATTAATATTTTTTCAGGCCACAGTTTATAACAAAAACTGCATTGAACAGCATTGGAGCAGGGGGCTTTATGACTTGCCTGTATCTCATTCAAAGACAGGAGGCAAATACACTGTCATATTACAGGTGTGAAATATTACCAGACAAGAACTTCTATGGACAAGGGTGTCGTATTTAGAATTGTCCACAGGAAGTGGAAGAAACAAAACCTATCTGCTCTGGAAACAGCTAGTTCACAAGACATGAAAACAAAGCCAGTATGACTACTGGACAGGAAGGAATCTTCAACACAAAAATAACTTACTACTTTTCAGTCTGAGCTAATCCTGTGACCTAATCACAGGACTGAATAGTGCCAGAGAACTTCACCCAATCTCAGTAACTCCCCTGAAAGCCAGTGGTTCATACTCCTCACGGAAACAAGACAAAAAACCAGCCAACTATGGAAGCCAGTCCCCCAACAGACAGTGTTTAGTTCTTTTAAATCCTTGGGCAAAGACCAAAGAGCAAGGGGTTTGCTTGGTTGCTGATTTTATTCAGAGCCTCTGTAAATTATAGCAGTGCTAATTTTGCCCTCTTACTGCATGCAGGCAAATGACTGTGCAACCAATTTCCTTTTCACATTCCAGAGCTTCTGACACAGTTCAAGTGGGGTCATGAATTCCCACTAAACAACTTCCCAATTAATTATTGAATAACATTTAACACCCTATGCAATAAGCTGCATAATAGAACCACATAATTTGAAGCTATGAGAAGGATAGTAGTCCTATCCAAAATCAAGTATTTAAACAGACCAGCCTGGATGTGAGAGTACACTGCAGTTCCCCAATTCAGCCCAAGTTCAAGCAAAAGCTGCCTTCTAAACAAAACCCAGGAGATCAACCCTTACAAGAAAATAAAATTAATTGCCTATAATGAGTATTCCAGACACAGTGCCTGTTGCTGCTTCAGTTTCTCTAAAAGCATCCTGGGGATTTATGTTTACCAGCCCAGTAACACGTGCTAGAAGTGGCTGCTGTGAGGAACAGTCCTATAACCCTTCAGCCTTGTCCACCATCACAGGCTTAGCAACCCTCAGACACCCAAGACACCATCCTAAGTGTATTCAAATCAATCACCTCTTGCCATTATGTTTTATGTGACACCAGCAAAATTAACACACAAGATCATGACCAACTTCCCAGTTTGAATAAGAAATGCACCTTGCAAGTTACTCATGCAATACCTTGCAGCCAAGTACCAGGATATCTCATGTGTACCTTTGCTCAGTCAAGAAAATAATAACTGCTGGAGCACACATAGTTTGTAGAGAAACATAAACCCCCTTGTTCTAATGAAATTCAAGTCTGTCCAAAGCAGCCACAGCAGTCAAACTGTGGAGACTAGACTCAGGAGACATTGATAATGTTTCCAGTGAAATAAGGCTTAAATTCAGCTCTAGTCAACAGATCACTTCCAAGAACACTTGCACCAGGTCAGACAGGGGTCTGCCTAGTCCATTCTCCAGAGTAATGGGGTGCACGAGGAAGAACAGGGATGAGAAAAGCACAGATGGTGCTTTCTCTGCTTTTTCTACTGGTCTCGGTTTAAGGGTTTCCCTGACTTGGAAACTCAATCTGCTTTGAGACTTTTATTCTTACCTAGTCACTCCTGGAACAGATGTAACCTTTAAGCAGTGACAGGACTACCTGCCCAGTACTTACACCACCAGAACCAATTTTCCATGCCTTGAGCAGAGTTTCTACAGTTTTATCTGACACTGCCCAAGCTCTTCAACTACAGACAACATTTCTACTTGCCATCCCCACCACACACAATTTTGTGGATTTGTCTCACATCCTGCCATAGCTTTTTTCTTTTGCTGGGAGGAAAGTTGTTCTCACTCAACAATCCTAGTGAAAATTTTAACTGCTGGCTCTACTCAACCAGACTGATGCTCCTGCAAATATAATAAACAGCAAAGAAGAAACTGGAAATATCTGTAATGCTTCAATCAACTCAACTTGAACAACCAAAAATATTGGGAAGACACATTTGGAAGATAAATTGTTCCACCTTTTTCCATCTTGAGTGCTAGCAGACTTTGTAAGGAAAAATCAGAAGAAAATCCTGCAAGTACATCTCAAAAGGGCAGAAAGACCTTCACAGAGGATTCCAGTACAATACATCCACAGACACAGTGACTCACATACAGACAAACACAGCAATAATTGTTCAATACCTCCAATTTATTCTAAAGGTCATGCAGTTTAAAGTAATTCCACAGAAGTCACCACAGAATGAATAAAGACCACGATATCTTAGACTATGAGTAAAACAGAACTGAAGACAGAGGACAGGGTCTTCCTCTATGGAACAGATTAAATTATGACTATTTTTTGTTCAAGCACTGCATTTTCAAATTACAGGTCACTGGAAAAATCTAATCATGCCAGTCTACATCACCAAGCTAAGTGAATCCATTGTTGAAAGTTTCCTAGGTGACCAGTCAGTCACAGACTATAATCAAGGAATTTGGTTTGGAGTAGGTGTATTTCACACCTACACCTCCCTGAGGAATGGCAACAGCAAGGATTTCAAAAATCTGTACTTGACAATGTGATGTAAATGACAAAATGTGGGCTGCATCAGATTTCTTCCACAGTCACTAAGTCAAAGAAAGTATTAAATCAACATACAAGTACAGCTTGGCAAGCAAAAAATAATCTACTGCTCTTTATGGGATATTGTTACTCTCCCTTAATAGAATACACATTGTTCATGTATTTCAAGATTTACTATGGAGCCTGGTATGTTACTTGACTTTTGTGGAACAGGAGGAAAGAGAATAACGTTTCAAATCATAAGGGATTTCAACCTGAGCTGTATAAAATGAAGAAAACTAAGCAGTCAAATAACAGTTTATATGGACATGAAACAGCAAAAGAACCCATATTGCACTGACAGCCAATGAAGCAATCTAAGTAGGCTGCCTGAGTCAGGTCTGCAAATAGTCACAGAACAAAATAAAGCTATTTTTCAAGGTATTAATCACATTGGAAATGTTTTAACATATTTACACATGGCCAATTTTTCAAAACTACAGATGAAGACATCTAAAAGGCTTTATTTCCATGTCTCTGTTATACCACTGATTTTTAGGTGCATGTGGTACTTAAGTAGTTTTTAAGTGCAGCAAAACTCTAAAGGAACTCTAAATGCTATAATTAGAGTTTCTTTACAGATTTCTTAGTCTTTGTTGGTTTGGGTTTTTTTGTTTGGGTTTGTTTGTTTTGTGGGTTGAGTTTGGTTTTTTTAAAGTAAGCTGTGCCTGACCAAAGAGCAGAGAAGCATGCTTTTATTCTATATATAGTGTGCATGGAGAGACAATGCAAAGTGCATTAAATGGTAGTTACCTTGGCTTGTTATAGAGGGTATTATGAACCAAATGAGGAAAGCAGAACCATTCTCCTCTAGCTAATACAACATTGCAAAAAAATAAACCTAATTCTTCTAGGATACTGAGGCTTTATTTAGATGTGACAACTTGTACCACTTTTACTGGCAAATATCTCTAAAAGCATCATGGGAGATGCTTCTTCCAGCAGAATTGAGTAAAGGGAATGCTTCTGACCACTTGGAATGCTAGGGCTTGGACAGTAGGCCCAAGCCAGAGTTGACTTATAGATGAATCCTGTGAATGAGACTTCTTTGTGCTAGTTAACTAGACCACAATGTAGAACACAGATTCAGATAACCTTTGCATAGGCTATATACCTGTTCTAGGCCATGGTGCCTTCTACAAAATATCTTCTAGATAACCTTGGTACAGGTTATATACTTGCCTGGGAAATACTTCCAAGGTCATGCCCTGTCTATAATTTATCTTAGGAAACTCTACCACCCATGTCCTGTGCTCTGGCCAAGCCCTGGCCTCTGTTGGTCAGAGAGGAGTACCAACAGGTGTTACCCACACAAATGATAAAAAAATGCAAGTTATTTTTTGCTAGCTAATTTGGCCTATAAAAGCTGGATCCTCTTGCAGCGACTTTGGACACCTTAGCTACGAGTGTACCCACTGCATAGGACTTCCCAATAGCTGGGAAAGGCTCTCCAAATCCTTGCTGCAACCAGGGGCTCCCCAGCAACTGCAGGTCTGGACACTGATAAAGTATTAGGACAACTGAGGATGTATTTTTGTTAATCACTATTCTTTCCTGTATGTAGTAATGATTAGGTGCATTATCTTTCTTATTGTCTTGGTTGTTGCTTTTGCTGTTTGTATAAGAGCTTAGTAAACTAACCTTATATGCTATTATTCATTTTTCTACTATCTTAAAACACCAATAGTAAAATAAACCTTTTCTTTCTGTTGGTGTGTGTTATTTCTGTCGTTCCCATCAGCTGGCAGAACACCACTAAATACTTTGCTAATTTCTTTTCAAACTTTATTCATTTTGAAAAAGCTATTCCTTGCTCAGTACATTTAGTTATAACAACCTCTTAGAACACTTGTCCCGTTTCTGTTTAGCAACATGAATTCAAAGTGACTTTTAGTATCTCACAGGAGCATCAATGTGCAAGTACAACACTCCCAAAGGAATAAATTTGTTCGAGGTCCATTTTCATTTCAGGATGTGTTCAGCTACATGTATTTCAGCTGCAGCCACCCACAGTGTCCTTGCTGTGTGGAGCAGGTTTGGCCCCACCACAAGCCCTGCTGGTGCAGATGTTCAGGGCTGCACCAGAGCTCTCCCCACACTGAGAGGTTGACTGACTGGCCCAGAGTCCCCAGTAACATCTCTGTACTGACTCCAGGGCTCCAGCTGTGCAATGAAGACCTAGGCACAGCAGTGGAAAGATATCTGCAATTACTTAGACCCCAAGCTACCACTGTGGCACAGTACTCCCCAGTGGGAGCACCACAAAATCCCCACAAGGAATTCTAGCTACAGTTAGACACTGCTGCTGCCTCACTATCTATTTCGCACAAA